GATGGCGTACAATCTGAAAAGTTGGAACGGAAGAGAAGCAACTCAGAGAGTTAGTGCGAGAAGGGGATGGTGGTAAGGACAGTATATGAAGGAAAGGACTTGGACCCAAAGCTGCATGCTGGAGCAATGAGCTGGTCGGTCAGGCAGCAAGCGCGAACCTCTGTGGCCCCAAACAGCATCGAGGTTGTCCTATATATTTGGCTAGACACCACAGTGCAGCAGAGACAAGAAGATGCGACGGTGAGCGAACGTGGGTAGGGTAGCATACACTTAAGGTCTTGTCCGAGGCGGTGGAGACGACGGGTATCAAAATTACAAGAGGGTCCAGGATACCATCGATGCCATGATGCATGACATAATTGGGCTGGGGGTGGAAGAGGAATCATGGGGGGGTGCGCCTCCAGAAGATGCGGTTGCGCTGCGCTTGCAGGGGTGGAGTGATGGTATTGAGACTTTTGTCAAGTCATATATGAGAGATCTCGAAGAGAGGATAGAGAAGGGTGTGCGGGAAAGGCGTAGGACGAGCAACGAGAGTGCCATTGTGCCTGTGCCACCGAGCTGGCGTGTACCAGACAGAGATTCGGAAACCGGGGAGACACAGACAGGCTACAAATAGAGCAGGATGGGCAAAATAATGGGAGAAGGGCCGCAACAAGATTACAAGGCCTCGTGGTCGGGCGTGGTCGTCCTTCTGGTGCCGTTATTTTGATTGCCTAGCTTGCCCATCCTGATTCTGCTGCCCGTGAGCTAGTTAGTTCGGCGCGAGTCTGTTCTCAACTTCTCTGTCTGAATCCAGCCGTCGGCGACGACCGCCGACCCTTGGCGGCAGTTGACGATCAGGGTTGCAGGGAACAGGAATGATCCCTGCACGCCGCACCGCTACTTTTGCTCCTCTTCCTTTTCTTTTGTTCGTCCACCTTTTTTCTGCATCTTCCGAATGATTTCTCCACGCCTGGCCGGCCGTGCATGCAGGTCTTCGCGACGAGGTAGGCAGGGAGCAGGCATTCATTCTCTGGCCAGTGTTCTTGTTTGTGTCGATATGTGCTGGTGATGCTGCTTCAAGACGTGGACACTGTGATTGCCAGCCGCATTTCGTGTCTGTTGTTCACCGACCAATGTAAATGAACCTGTTGGGTCTGCGGCTGTAAGAGACGAATTATCCTGGACGAAGCGCCGTGGTCTGTACTGCAACGGCACCCTTGGTACATACAGTGTCTGTTGTTCATTAGACGTCAGCCAGTCAAGTCCGGCGCAAAAGGGCCCGTTTGTTCCGATGAAGGTCGTCCAATTGGCCTTGAACCAAGACAATTGACCAACTTCAGCACGCGTGCGTCAAAAGAGTCGGACCGGTCTCCCAGATATTTGGCAGGAGCAGTTTTGCAGCGACCTGTCTCCTCGTGTTATGACGATCCGAGGATGAAAGGAGCAGGCGAATCATGTTCGAGGGACGCAGGCCTACAAGGCTCGGTATACATCAAACCAGCCACAATGCGACGGTGAGAAACGATGGTTCTCTGAAAGGTGCTTGTGGCTTTGGGCTCTTGACAAGCACGTCCCCTTCTCGACGGGGAAGCTGAATAGAAGATCCGCCGGGTGAGAATTCGCGGCCGCGGCGGTCTGACCTCCAGCAGTTGGTTTGAAGCCATCGCTAATGGTCGGCGCTAGGCGTCGTGGGAAAAGAAAGCGTACCTGGAGAATCCATGAGGTTCCTTCCAGGCTAAGATGGGACGACACACAACTGCCCGAGAAGCAGGAATTCTGCACTGCATTGCCAAACTCTAAAGCAACCTTCAGCTCTGCGCTGGCGAATGCGGGCTTGGTCTGGTATTCGAACGCTGTTGGTTGTGTTGTCGTTTGCGTTCCCAACCTCGTGGGATCAGCTGTAGCTTGTCGATTGAGCAAGCGGCTGTTGTACTTTGCAGCCAATTTGAGTTGAACGTTACAGACAGTGCCCATCACACTGACGTGAAAATTGTGGATCGATAGGCGAGTGACATGCACTGAGACCCTCATCCGTCCACCCTTTGAGCGGCACAGCGGTATCTGGTGCTTTGGAACGGGTAGATCCCAGCTGATGCGCTGGGAAACTGGGGGAAACTAATGAATCACACACGGACACGCAAGGAGCAGCGTCTTCAGGCGGTGAAGTCGAGCGCAGAGCAAGCCGGGCTGGGCAAAACATGTCGAGCGAGTCCAAACAAGGTATCCGTACGTGGACGAGATATAGACGGCCGTCTCAGTCGTAGGGTTGACCAGTAGCATAGCCATGCGACTCAGTGGCAGGGAACTGTCCAGTGAGCAGACGTGTAGCGGCAGCTTGGCTGCGCGGGGGCCCACCCAAACGATGGAAACAGCCGACTGACACAGAGGGTCGAGTGGAGGAGATGGTTGCAGGTGACTGCATGCCACGCTGGCAGCACATAGTTGTACATGAAGCAGCCCTGAGGTCTGGGAAATCCGACGATTTGGGAGCATGAGGTCATTGACCGAGGGCCGTCGAGTTGGGTATTGATGAATAGCTGTCGGTCTGCGTGGCGTGACGGTGAGTATGCATTGTAGTCTTGTTGGCGCATTGTTCGTTGAGAAGCTGAGTTGTCCCGTGATATGTTGGGCCATCTCTTGTCTCTGGATACGTGGAGGCAGAGCGGGTGTTTTTTTTTCCGCCTCGCCGTCTCGGTCGCATCGGCCCACGAGAAAGAGAGAAGATCCATGGGTGTCCCATACTGACTAAGGCAGGTCGATCAACGATGTCAAGCCGAGAGAGAATACTCGAGCGATGATGGGCTCTATGGCTCCGTGGTGTGTCCGTGGGCATCCATCCCATCCCGCGCGGGCACGCCGCACCCTGCCAATTCTGTAGGCTGTACGTACGAAGATATGCGGGCGTGCTCCGTATGTAAGTAACTTGCAGTAGTCGATTCCGATGATTGGGCGCAGGCGATGGCTAAGTGAAAAAACCCCAGCAAAGTCTAGTCAGTCAGGGTCGATACGCATGGCATGGCATCCTCCTGACTTCTCTGGCTTCCGCATCGGAGCGAGTGATGCGACGTTTTGGAGGGGTCGCGGTGCTTGAAAATAGAATTGACTTTTTCCTAGGTAAAAGGCGACGGCAGTCTTTGGACTGCTTGGGAGGTCGAGAAACGTGGGAGAAACGCGCTAGAACAGCCACGTCGCGCGAAGAAGAGATGAAGGGACGGGCGTGAGATTGGCGGGAGAGCAATAGGCGTTGATGACTTGGGTCGGCAGCCGTTGGTCGGATTTGTGCCTTGATGAAGCAAACAAACTCCGGTCGGGAAGTGCGGGGTCAGTCTCGTTGAGGAGAGAAAAAGTCGGACACGGTATGAAAGAAGAGACCCATCAACGGAGCGGAGACGGCATCTGAGGGGAGGAGCAGCTGCGTGGTGGTGGGTTGAAGAAGCCGAAGACGGCCCCAGATGCAATGGAAGGGAAAAAGAAAAGAAGAAGAAGTGGAAGTGCATGTCATTCTGCAGCCTTGGCGAGCTAGGTATCCGTAAGGTAGGTAGGTACCTTAGGTGCTGTACTGCGTAGTGTTCACTGTCAACGGAACTGAATGAACCCTGAGGTGGGAATGCCAAAAGAACGTGGGTCCTTTTCTGCCCAACTGAGCCATCTTCCATTTTCTGCAAGTCCCCTGCCACACTAAGGCAAGTGCGAGGGCTCCTTCTTTCCTCCAGTGTGCCCGCAAACCGAGGATGGAAGGAGTGGATGGGAATACCCTTTCTGTTAGAGGAAAGGCAAAAGGAATGGAAGGATTGAACACTGTGAAGGAGAAGCCTACCTACGTACCTTACTGATGGAAGGTAAGACGGTCTTATTGAGAACGCAACTACCTTACCTTAGTTACCTTACTTTTGGGAAAGTGGTTGTAAAACCGTGCCTTCCAAGTCAAATGATTTAGATTCAGTGGAGGTAATTACCTACTAAGGTAAGTCAAGGTAGGTAATGATTGAAGATGCCTTCCCCAAGGCAGGCAACGCGCCAAATCTCTCCCTGTGTATGTTGCGGCCCGTCCTCACAGACATCCATCCCACTTTCCCTGCCCGTGGTTCTTCGCCGTCCATGGCCCCTCCCCGTCACCCACATACCTACCTACGGCCCGGCCGAAGAACGGGAGGGGTCGTTCAGGGACTTCCCGCGGCCAACCCCTCCGACCCGTCGTGGGATGCTGCCTTGGCGAGGATCGGCCCTGTCAAGTTTTCTCCCTCACAGCATTGGACCCGTGCACATATGCAGCGGCGAACACAACATCACACGCTCATCCTGGGCGCATGTTGGATCATCATGAGTGTGCCCCAGCTTCAGAGAGACAAAAATGACCTTTTTCAAGACATGGCATCAACCATTGGCGCTCTCCGCGCGGAGAAGCAAAAAGCAGCCCTGATCTACAGGAACCAAGTCCCCTTTTGTCGTGATACAGCCTCCCGGCCTCCTCCTCTACTGCTCGGTGCTTATTCTCGCCAAACGTTACCAGCAGGCTGCAATCTACCACACTCGACAAGACGCTCCTCCAACATCGCTTGACCTGCCAAAGCGGAGTACAATCCCTGTTTACACTTGGTTCACCAACCAATCTTGCAAGAGTGTTTGCTTCATGGATTACTGACATTTATGTGAGGACCCGCTTTTCGTGTGAGAGCCAACAGTGCCAGACCTCCGTCCTCCAGCACTCTCTCCTCTCTTCTCTCGCAATCCCTCAATCTCACCGCGAGAGGCTATTTTATGCTTTTGCACCAGTCCGCCCCATTCGCAGCAAAAATAAAGTCATCTTGGGAAAGTTTCACCTAGTGCAGCGCCGATCTTGGTGAAAGACCCGACAGCCATGGTCCAGTATACCCTCATTGGCTCCAAGTGGGTTTCCGCGCTACAGTAAACTCACCTTGCGTAGAACTAGGATGCCCTCGCTTTGGCACCACCACCATCCACCTTCGAGAACAAATCGCCTGCGTACCTACCTACCGACCTAGGTGGCACCTGCAAGCATGTCTGACGCACAAGCTCCTCTGCACCCCGCTGGTACCATCGAAGCTGCCGACGAGCCCGTCGACACCAGTGAGTTTGACCCCGTTGAGTGGGACGCTTCCTCTGTCGGCTCGCGCTCCATCACTGCCAGCATCTTTGCCCATGAGTACGACGAGAACGGGCGCCGGTACCATAGGTATCGCCATGGCCGCTATCCAATGCCCAACGATCAGACAGAGCAGGGTCGGGAGAATATCAAGCATGTTTTGATGCTGGAGCTTCTCGTAAGTTCGCTCAAACGCCTCGTGACGCTATGTAGTGACGCTTCCGTCCAAGTCTGATTTGTAACCAGAATGGCAGACTATTTCTCGCCCCTCTCGGTCGCAATCCTCAGAAAATCATAGACATTGGAACGGGCACCGGTACAGTGGTCCCTTGGTAACACCGACCCTTTCGTTCTTTCTCTCTAACAGTTTGAAATTAGGTGCTTGGGCAATTGACAGTATGTTGACGGTTTCCCGCACGTGAGCCAATACTGATCAAGATAATTCAAAGTTGCCGATCGTTATCCTGGCGCGTCTGTCGTAGGCATCGACCTGTCTCCCATACAGCCGGAGTGGACACCCGGCAATGTCAAGTTTTTCGTCGACGACGCCGAGGATGACTGGGTGAACGGGAGAGATTTCGACTTTGTGCATTTCCGATCCATGGCTCCAATTCTTCGGAAGCTAGACAAGGTCCTGGTAGACGCTCACGAGTAAGCCTGATCCAGATGCGGTGCTGGAGAAACTATTAATGATTCACTCAGAAACATGAAGCCCGGGGGGTGGATTGAGTTCCAAGAGCTGCATGGGCAGATCCATTCCGACGACGGCACTATGACGGGTGACGATAAGCTCAAGACGTTTTACGAGCTCGTCGTCCAAGCCTTTCAGAGTCTTGGTCTGGACTTCCACAAAGCACGGGACTTGGGTCCTCACCTCGAGGCCGCTGGCTTCAGAAACGTCCAGTGCCAAATCCTGAAAATCCCAATTGGCACCTGGCCAAAGGACAACACCCAGCGATTGATTGGCTACTACTCGAAACTTGCTGTCAAGTGGGCGGCAACGGCCTTCACAGGCAAACCGTTCGAGGCTACGGGCATCTCAAAGTCGCAGTCCGATGCCTGGTGCAAAACCGTCTGGGAAGATTTGGAGGACGATAGCAAGCATCGCTACTATAACATGTTCTTCTGGTATGCTCAGAAAGTCTGATGAATTGGCTGCGGGTCTCTCGGAAAACCCACGTGCTGTAGCTTCCCTTCCGATGTGGTGGGTTGCGCTGTCATCATCACTCAATTGTTGGTGATACTGGAGGCGTACGTTTGACCAAGCTACGGGCATGTTGCGCAACACATGTTGTACGAGGTTCTGAAAGTGTTTGATGTAATGCTTCCGTATTCCACCGAGAAGCCTATTGGTTGTTCGGAGCTTCGACTGTGGCGTCGTAAAATCTTGATCGATGCCCAGAGAAATAATAATTTGATATTTGAGGACATGTGAAGTAACTACGCTGGTTTCTCTGCGTCGTCCACTTGCCCCTGCGCAGTGAAAACGTAGCGTCCTCTCAACTGTGAAGCACTTTACGTATCACTGGAGCTAAGAATGCGCCCCACAGCAGCTCAAGCAGCGGTTGCTGACTAACCAGACGGGGCAGTCGGCGGATCTCAGAGCTAAGGTAATCCACGCTTGCGCATCGCGAGCTTCACCCTTCCATAACTATTCCAAACAAGTCAAAACCGCAGGCAAACAGGGCGAGGCCGTTTGACCGCAATCGTGCACTTGTATCATTGCGCACCCCGAAGATATTCGCGCATCCGATCACCGCGACCGCGAACTTCGCGCAACAGCCTTACAAAACCACCACGCGACATCAACAAACCAAACCGATCGCATCTCCCATATCAAAAACCAGCGACAACCTCACCCGCTTCACCCGACAGCTCCTTGGAGCCCCCTCCACCTCTCCGAAAATGGCAATCGTAGCCCGCCCGGAGGCAACCCAGATCCTCACTCACGCCCCGCAAGCGACGAACTTCTCTTTCACCCCCTTCCTCCGCCAGACCTACCGCCACGAGCTCTCCTCCGACCGCCCGCAATGCAAGCCCTTCCTCGCGGGCCACTGCCCCCTCGGGGCCTCCTGCCCAGACCGCCACGCCTCCTCGCCGTCCTCCTCCAACAATAACTCCGGCGGCGGCGGCGGCGGGCCCTCGCTGGTCTGCAAGCACTGGCTGCGCGGCCTGTGCAAGAAGGGCGAGAGCTGCGAGTTCCTCCACGAGTACAACCTGCGCAAGATGCCCGAGTGCAACTTCTTCATGCGCAACGGCTACTGCTCCAACGGCGAGGAGTGCCTGTACCTGCACATCGACCCGCAGTCGAAGCTGCCGCCGTGCCCGCATTACGACAAGGGCTTCTGCCCGCTGGGCCCGCGCTGCAGCAAGAAACACGTCCGCCGGAAGCTGTGCGTCTACTACCTCGTCGGTTTCTGCCCCGAGGGCCCCGGGTGCAAGTTCGGCGCCCACCCGCGCTGGAGGACGGATCTGGAGAAGCCGAGCGTCAAGGTCGAGGGCGAGGACGAGAAGAAGGACGGCGAGCGCGAGGACGGCGAGGCGGTGCCGGTGCAGAGGGAGCAGCGCATGCGGGATATGCACGAGGACCGCGGCCACGGGGACCGGAGGCACGGCCGCGGAGGAGGCAAGTGGCGCGATCGCGGGAACAGGAGGTTCCGAGGACGTGGTGGTCACTAAGAGGAGCGGCTCTTGATTTGACGATAGGAGGAGGGTGTGGAGAGGGTGTGTACTATAGAGCATTTTTACGGTTTTCCTGCGTGGTCCGGTTTGCGACTGCGCTTGGCTCAATGATACCAAAAGTCTATGAATCATGGAGTTCTTTGATAAAATTGATGGGCCTGGAAACGAAGGGTTGCAATTGCAATAGTTTTAAACAGATTACACCGCGGATTCCGAAGAGCGCAATGGGCGGCGCAACTGTGCATGAAATATCTTGTTGCAACATGTATTTTAAAGTCTCCCTACAACCTGACTTATCTCAACCTGTGCAAGCGCGTCAAATGAATCCTCCATAATAAGTGTTCATTCCAATCCTAAATGAACGCAAAAAACAAAAGAAAACGAGTATGACAGGACTCGAACCTGCAACCACGGCCAACTTGGTAATGAGTACCGGAAGACCGCACGCTAGCCATTGCGCCACATACCCGGCTGATGACTTCTGAGTCCAAAAGTCTGCCTAAGTTCTGTGGACTTTGGGTGGGGTTGCTGCGTCGCCGCAGGAGAACATGCGACGAACCCCAGATTTGTAAATGGGCGCATGCAATACCCTCCCTGCATTAATGCATGGCAGGTTCACCGAAAAAAAGAAAACTCGCTTTTACGCTCATGCTGTTGGTGCTGTCCGATAAAATGACGTTCGAGTTCAGCCAGCTGATCGGTCTTGGGCATTGTCTGGCTCTCAGTCAGACCGCCGCCTGATCAATAGTGATGAGGAGCGTTTTGCGTTACTCGAAACGACAAGATTATCTCCAAAACTTCACGTCTTCATAATTTCATCTTGAACATAGCATAGGCTTCTGCAGCCTCCAGCAGAGACAACTTGGCTGCTGAGAGACCTCCCCTCTGGGTAACGTACGACATCATGTTCTCGAATGGGGCCGAGATGTGGAAAAGGTTAGTTAGGGGAAACCAAGAAGGCTTCTTGGCTCCATGTTCAAAGATATTAGTGTTATTACGAGGTACGTAGATGCCAGTTTTACGCCGCAATCGAGGTCAACTCTCAGAGCCCAATCTGGTGTTGTCTGCTAAGACTATTCGGAGAGTTTTGAACCAGTTCTTGGATTTGACAGCCTCACGCTACGCTAATCATAAGAGGAAAACAGTAAAGCCGATTACATGTATGTTAGGCTGAGCCACAATCTAGCCGACATGAAGCACCGGTTGAGCTCTGGTCCGGACAGTGCTTACGGGCCGGTACCTGACGCAGTACGTAACAGGAGCGAAGAGCCGCGCGAGAAATGAACACGAGAGGCCGTAGGGCTGGCCCCATGAGGGCGATAACAGAAGTATTGTAGATTAAACTTCGCTCGACGCGTGGACACGGCGCCCTAACGCTCTCAGCTCAGCCGACGGGATGGCTGCGCCGTGTGTGTTAAGAGGGGAACAAATCAATTGACAAAGTCGGAGCTGAGACAGAAGCTAGGCGATTGACCTCGAAAGTAAAGCGAACTGCCTCATTTGGTCAATATCATGGTTGTTGACCATGAAGCATAGTCGTCACCCAGAAACGGCATGTTTGCGTCAAACTTCAGCTCGTAATCACCCATCGGCCACTCTTCATGTCTATCTCTCACCGTTCTATGTCTACATCGCAGCTCGAACCCCATTGATGGAGTGGCTCTTTTCCGGTCACATCGCTTAGATAGACACCCTGCTTGCTTCCAAACATGTCTCTCAATCTATTGGAGGCGGGATTGAAACCGATTGATTCGTCGAGTGTGAGGTCGAGCCAGCCGAGGATTCTGCAAAGTAGCTGGCTCGATGAGGTGTAGATTAGACTTCTGGGGTGGCTTCGTTCCCTGAAAGCCAGAAAATGTGCACAAAATTGAACCTCAAAGAGATCTGGGAAATTGTCTGAATCTATTATGATGCTGCCATTGTGCTATCCACGGGGCTGCGGCTATAGCCCATAATGCTCCAGCGTTCTATCAAGCCCAGGTCAGTGTCCACTCGGAATTCCATGCCCCCTTCGAAGTCAAAGACTGCAATCCGTGAATCTTGAGAGCACGAGAAGCGGTGTCCAACGACCAGTTCTCACTTGCAAGAACCTGATCATTCAGAGTCACGGCCGAAACGTCCCGCTTGACTCCCATGATTGTGACATTGCCGAGAGAGTTGGCGTCCTTGTACTCTCCGGAGGGACTGGCCTTGAGAACACCGTCCAAGGCGGTGAGCTATACGTCTGTTAGCTTCCAATTTCACCAAAGCGAGCTCAAGAACATACCTCTATAGTCAGAGTAGACTCCTGCTCCAAGCTCTCGCCATCGTCCACGTAAAGATTACCCTGAGCACCGCCCTCGCTGTCAAGCGCAACCAAGAGCCCCCACGGGTTGGCCCTGCTCTCTGTCGTCGTCTTGCCAGGCTCTTGAGTCGGAATAACGTACCCGCCGCGGAGGTACACAGGAATATGTCCAAGCGGCGCGTCAATGGTGACGTTTTGCCCAGAAGTAACTCCAGTGATGGCGGATTGGTTGTACCAGTCATACCAGACGGTGCCCTTGCCAACACCGGGGAAGACGCCATCAACCGTGGTCGCCCCCTGCACAAGGCAGGGCGTAACAAGCACAGCCGGCCCCAGCAGAAACTGTCTATCCGCATCCGCCAGCCACGGCTCGTCCGCAAACTCCCACACAAGCGCTTTCATCACCGTATCACCCAGGGTATTCGCCCTGTAAAAGGCAGTATACATGTACGGCAGCAGCGCATAGCGGATGGCCATGGCCTTCTTGGACGCGTCCGCCACGGTGCTCCAGCGGTACGGCTCCTGCGGGATGCCCGCGATGGCGTTGTGGTTCCTGTAGAACGGGAAGAAGGCGCTCAGCTGCATCCAGCGCGCGCATAGCTCCATGTCGGCGTTGCCCGCGAAGCCGCACGTGTCGACGCCGAACATGGGAAAGCCGAAGATGCTGAAGCTCAGCGCCTGCGGGATCGAGAAGAACATGTACGCCCAGAGGGAGTAGTTGTCGCCGCCCCAGTGCCCGGCCCACTTGCCCGACCCGGCAAAGGTCGAGCGGCCGATGATGAAGGGGCGCTTGCCCGGGAAGACGGAGAGAAGGGCGTGGTAGGTGGCGTTGAGGATCTGGTGGCCGAAGAGGTTGTGGAAGTCGTACTCTTCGGAGCCGCCGTGGTGCGTTGCATTGGGGGAGACGGCGTGCACGGCGAGGTCGCCGTGGATGTGGTCGATCACGTACGGTGGGTGGTTGACGTTGCGGACGCCGGGGGTGGGAGTGGTGCGAAGGTAAGAGGTCGTCGTGGAGGTTGGCTCCGCGTCGTTGACGGCGGTGGATTTGGCAGCCTCGGCTGAAGCTGAGAGTGCAGAGATGGATGCAGCTTCAGTGGCGTTGGTCTTCTCGAAGCCTTCGGGGTAGGAGTAGTCTTCGTTGCCGGGTTCTCCTGGAAGCTGGAACGGGACATGGGCAGGAT